CGGGGCACGCGCAGAGCCCACTGCCAGCGCCAAGAGCTTCGGGGGGCGGGGAGGGTGGCGGCGGAGACCTCCCGCTCGCCATCGCTCGGAGACGTCCACTCCCTGTGCAATTCTTGGTCGCTCTCGCGGGTGATTTTTGTCGCCCGATGACCCAGGATGCTCCTCGATGGTCCTCGCCGAGAAAATCATTCGAAGAAGAAAAACGCCATGAACATACACTTTTGGCGCTCCGCGCGGACTTCATCTGCGCTGGACCCCCTTCCCTGACGCGCGGAGCGCGCCAGGGGCGGCGTCACAATCCAAACCTGTAGTCACAATCCAAAGAACTGTCCGATCAAGATGATTATCTAGAATCTCAATAATTAGCACCGTACTGCTAAGCCCGTCTGGCTGTGGCTCAACCCTGGGCCCCCGACGAGGGCGCTGAGTGAAACGCGTGGATCGAATCAAGCATTTCGCCATTTTGGCCATTATTGTCTGGGCTAGATCGAAACCGAGACAATCCTGTCGATGCCGAGGTGGGGCGTATGCGGCTCTTCTATCCTGGGCATCCATTGCGGGTGGCAATTTCCAAGTCTTTCTGGTCTGGGTTTCTTTGGCGCGTCAATGATAAATCCCAAGGCGCATCAACGGTGCTGCAATACAGCCTCCCGGGCAGGCGCAAAGAGCAGTCTGAGGAACGAGAGATGGAAGGACAAGGGCGAGGGAGAGAAGGCAGGGGGAAAGAGAGCAGGCAGGAGGCGAGATCAAAGGTCAGAGGAAGGAGAAACGGCAGGAGGCCCCATACCTCTCGACCATGTGTCTCTTGATGGCCCCTGGCCTCCAGGCCTGGCATCCGGAGGCTCAAGCTGACCAACACTTCACCGCCTCAATGTCAGTCTTGGCCGCGTACACAAGGGGGCAGGAAGAGGGGGGAAGGCTTCTTAGAAGAAAGCTGCTTCTTAGAAGGCGCCGGCCCTACATCTGCAGAGACGGCCCGCGCCTTCTGAGAAGCAGGGTGTGTCTAAGAAGCCTTCCATCCCCCCCCTACCCCCTCTGCGCGTGGCCGATTGTCGCTGCCCGCCAGAGGTCTGGGCCTCCGACTTTGCCCCACATTTTCGGCCTGGCCGCCCGGCAGACCAGCCCGACGGCGCAAGGGGGGGGGTGGCAGGGGCGCCAGGGCGACTCCCAGACCGGGAGCGGCCTTTGACTCGTCGTCGCCGGTCCGACTGCAGCCAAACCTGTACCCAGCCTGGACAAGTAGTGCAAGCACCTTTTCAGTTTCGTGGACCCCCCCGACCCCCGAGCTCACTGTTCAGTCAGCCGCGGCCGACGGCGGAAAAATCGGTTCGCGCGGCGCCCCGCGCGAACATTGAAACTGAGGGGCGCTGGGAGACGGACCGCACGCGGGAGTTGCATTACTTTTCCAGGGTAGTGCACATTGAGGCCTCCTAGATGGGGTCCGAACAGATGGGGTCGGAGGTTCGCGCCGCATCGCCCATACATCGGCGATGCATCGCCGATGCATTGGCGATGCATCCGCGACGTATTGGTGCCGTCGGAGTGGAGATAATCGGCTCCACATTGAGCCACATCGCCGATGCATTGGCGATGCGGCGCGATCCTCTACCCCATCTGCTCGGATCCCATCTGGAAGGCCTGGGGTTAAGGGACCCCTCTCTTTTTTGCTCCGCTCAGGAAGGCTTGCGGCTTGCGCACAGCCAAGCCAGCCCCTGGAGGTCGTCCGGGCTGGCCTCATCAGGGCAGCCCTGGGCGATCTCAACATAGAGTCGGCCAAAAAACGACGCAGAAGTACTAGAGGTCCGCGCTACATTTCCTAGTTTTGAAACGGGTGAATAACCTCTAGAGCTACTTTCCTCTCCCTCATCCTGACAGCTCCCAGGCATCCGGCGGCTCTGTACACAGACGGCCCCCCAGGCCGCCGCTTTCCATCCTGAATTGTAGCTCTGACGGCCCCACGGTCTGTGTAGTCGGCCTCTGAAAGACGCAAAGAAATGGGGTAGGATATCTGGGAGATTTCCATGCCCCGGCCATGATACGGCAAGTTTGTGTTTTGACGGCACTTGCAAGTTGGTTGCTGAGCGATCGCGGGGTTCCGATGGGGCCGATCGTTCTATATCGGAAGGCTCTGGACCACTGGCGGCGTTCCATCTTGAAGCCCGTGATGAGGTCGCCGCCGCGCCAACATGGCACGGATCTGAAGCATGCACCGCCCCCAGTCGTCGCCCCCCTCTTCTACGCACCCCACCAGGGCGATCTCAAAACACCCCCACCCTGGCTTGCCATCGCTCGGACTCGGCGGCGAGCGAGGGGGGGAAGTGAGAAGGGGCGGGCCTGCCTTCTCAGAAGGTGCGGAAGTCCCCCAGCCTTCTGAGAAGTGTTCTAAGCATTCCCCGAAGACAGAAGTAATTTCTTAAAGGCGCGAGGGCTTCTGAGAAGTCCCGCCGCCTTCTGAGAAGGTCTTCCCCTTCCCACTTCCCCCCTCGATCGCCGCGGACGGACGTCCATTCCCCGTGCAGTTTTCGTTCTCGGGCGTCTTTGTTGCAAGATGATCTAGGACGCTCCTCGATGGTCCTCGCTGCCGTAAAAACGAATCCAGACGACCGAGCGATGCCAAGCGGGGGCGTCCGGACCCAGACGTCCGATGTCTAACCATTGCTCCCATGCGGCCCCCAAAAAAATTCTGCGGCCATTCCCCGGGGGGCCGGCTTCTAAGACGAAGCCAAGACGGAAACAACATCTTTGGACGCCCGAAATGGGTACGGGAAAACTGGGTACAATGCCCAACAACAAATGTTGTCCCAAATCAACAGCAGCCACTGTTTGGCAGGCGACCTTCTGTCTCAAATGGGCACAGGCCGCGGTGGCGCGGACAGCGGGTCCTGTTCAAAATGAACAGCGACTGCTTTTGGGCATTGTGCCCATTCTTTCCGTACCCATTTCGATCGTGCCGAACATCGGGGGAAGATACATCGAGAATCTCTGAGATCCGGCGGCTCTGGAGGACTTCTCGGGCGCCGCGGCCTTCTCAGAGCGCTCCGGAACGCTCCAGAAGGAATCTGGGGAAACCATGCGCTCTGACCAGGATTTCGGGGCGAACCCAGCGATGGCGACGAGGGCCGCCCAGGATATGCCCCCAAAAAGGGGAAGGCCAGGGAAGGGTGTAGCTGTGGGTGCCTTTTGTTCCTCCTCTGAGGCTCATCACCGTCCGAGCGAGCTTCTCGTCCCGAGTCGGGTCCGGGCGGTCCCGGGGCCCAGCGGTGGCCCCCCAGGGAGCAAAAAACTACAAACCCTCCTCCTCCCGGACGTCTTCAAGACGTCGGGGGCCTGGGCTCGACGCCCCCCCAGCCAGGGCGCTCTCGACCCAGCACGCAGAGAACGTCCCGAAGGAGCCTGGTCCTGAAGCAGACGTCCTGAAGGAAATGGGTCCCGAAGGAGGGGGCTTCCTCCCAAACCGAGAGCCTTCGTCCCGAGTCGTTTCTTGACGGTCCCGCGACGGCCCCCGGATGCCGCAAGCAGGAACCACCTGTCTCACGCGGCACCTGAGGGGAGCCGTGCCCCGTCGCGCTGCTATCCGCACCGACTCTGTGCCGAGTCCAGGTCGAACGCAGAGTCCGCGTCGAGTCCGCGTCGCATCTGCGTCGAATCCGTATTGGACCCGCGTCGGATACGACAGAAAGACCGAAGCTCGCAGAGGAGACAGAGTCACCCGAAGATGCAACGTAGCCCCAATACCCATCTCGCTTGAGACCCGCTTGCTTCATGTTGAGATCCCAGTTCGGCATGAGGGAGGCGGGTCCTCAGGGAAATTGGTGCTGGACCCCGGGCCTTTCCCGAGGACCAACTTCTCATCCCGAGTCGTTTTCCGATATCCCAGGGGGCTGGGGGAGGGCCCGGAGAGGCCCCAAACTGCCAAACACCTCAGAACCCGTTTCCCTGCAGATCCGTTTCCTGGCCCTTGGCCTAGCAAGGGGGAAACGGGTCCTGGGCCCCGGAGCCTTCCCCCATGGAGGACGAGTTCTTCCTCCTGACTAGCTTCCTGACTGTCCTGCCCGAGAGCTCCAAAACCGTGAAAAATCTCAAGACCCGTTTCCCTCAGGATCCATTTTTGGACGCCCGATCTATCTGGGATGACTGCTGTCTGGGGTAACTCCGGTTTGGGTCTGCGAGGCGCGAATCTGCAGTTACCCCTGACTGCCCCCCGCCCTGATGATTCGGGAGGGCTGGGCGCCCGAGTTCTCTGGGCTGCGCTCCGGGGCAACTCCAGTTCGGGCCCCCGGGCCGCAAATCTATGAGGGCGCGCCGCTGGATGACCCCAAGGCCTCCTTGCCCCACACCCCCTTTCCCGATCCGTCGTCGGGGACCCCCCCCCCCTCCCCCCTTTCCCGGTCCGTCGTCGGGGACCTCCCCCATCTCCACACCTTTCGAAAGAGGGGGGGGGGTCCGAACCCCCCCCCCTCCCCCCCTTTGGCCGCCAAGTTCGAACCCCCCCCTCCCCCCTTTCGCCACGGCGCCCCCCGTCTCCGGAACCCGACCCCTACCACCCCGAACGCTAATCCTCACCCTTGCCCTAACCCCTAAGCCTAGCCCAAACCCAAACCCTAGCCCCAAACAGTACTCACTACCCACGACGCACTACTCACTACCCACAATTCACTACTCGCTACTCACGACTCCCTTCTCACTACTCACGACTCATTACCCACGACTCATTACCCACGACGCACTACTCACTACTCCCTACTCCCTATCCGCTATTCACTACACACTACGAACTACGAACTACTCACTACCCACTACTCACTACTCACTACTCACTACAAACTCAACTCACTACCCACTACTCGCTTATTTCCAATCACTACTCACTCCCACTAACCACTACCACTATCCACTACTCACACTTCACGACTCACTACGCGCTGCCCGCAAATCACTACTCACTATCCACTACTCGCTACTCCCTACTCCCTACACAATACTCAGTACTCGCTACTCACTACTCGCTACTCCCTCCGCCCCACTCGCTACCCAAT